TTAACTTCATTATTTTGCATTTAACTTCATTATTTTGCATTTAACTTCATTATTTTGCATTTAACTTCATTATTTTGCATTTAATTTTATTATTTTGCATTTAATTTTATTATTTTGCATTTAATTTTATTATTTTGCATTTAATTCCACTTTTCTTTTTGTTGCAGGTATGAGTTTAATGACTCTTGTGTCACTGCTGTTCACGAAGGTGAGAAAACCTGCAGCTTTCGGGTGTACGTACAGCTGCGGGGCTCGAGGAAGCCGCAGCAGTTTTCGAATTTTGAAGATTTTTCTTTTCATTTGAAGCAGCTGGCTAATAATAATTAATTGAATTTAATTGTTTTTTTCATTTTAACTGCTTAATTGCTAGTTGAATTTAATTTTTTTGTTCATTTTAACTGCTTAATTAATAATTAATTGCATTTAATTTTCTTTTTTTTTCAGACAAGTGCCACTCAGCCGACGCCTATATGCTCACCTACGAGCTCCGCTCCAGCCGCGAAGACTCAATGCGCAGAATAGCCAAAGTCAAAGCAGCAAACAGAATTCCCCCACACCCCAGTGAGCAGCAGCAGCAGCAGCAGCAGCAGCAGCAGCAGCAGCAGCCCCCCGTGCGCCCCTGGGTCATGTAGGGGCAGCAGCAGACTGCAGAGGGGCAACGGGAGGGGGTGTGAGGCAGAATTGAAAGGCACTGCAGCCACAGCAGCGGCAGCAACTGCTGCTGCTGCTGCTGCTGCAGCTGCTGCAGCAGCTGCTGCTGCGGCAGCAGCTGCTGCAGCAGCAGCAGCGGGGCGTGAGAAGTGAGAAATGGTGAATATGCATGCACTTCGAAGTGTCTGTTTCTGTACGGGCATTTTCATTTATAACACCGCGCACAGACCGCCTCATTTTTTAAGTGCTTTGTCACAAAAAAGGAAATAAAAAATAAAAAAAGAGGAAATAAAGCACTTTTAATATATCAAAATGAGCAGCTTCTCCAGCTTTGAAGGCCTCAAAGTCTTCTTTTCTTTTTCATTTTAAAAGAAAATGAACGGAGGTAATTTTCGCCCTTCAAAGACACCACTCCGTTGGCCTCGGAGGCCCCAAAGGCCTCCTGGGGGCCCCCGGCCCGCAGCTCCGCGTGGCCTCCGTCGGGGGGCTGCAGTATAAAGCGAATTAAATGTAAATAAATATCATTAAATGCAAATATATATAATTATATAAATAAATGTAATTAAATATAAATAAATAAATGCAAATAAATGAAGTAAATGGTACTTTTTGTTCACAACAACTGAGACAGCTGCTCACCAGGGCGCCCGCGTGCAGCGCAGCGCGGCAGACCGACGATAAGGGGCTGTAGAGGTCTTCTGCAGCAGATGAAGAATAAAAGAATAATAAAACAATTTTAAAACAATTTTAAAACAATTTTAAAATAATTTAAAAATAATTTAAAATGATTTTAAAATAATTGTAAATGAAGGCGAGAAGGTCCTTTGCCGCGCAGATCGCTCACCTGTTCCGTACACCCGAGCATCGGAGGCCGCCAGACAGCCTGAGAAGACAAAATAATTGAAATCCGAAAATTAAATAAATGAAATTTATTTAATTTTGTTCAAATTAATGCAAAGTGAATGCAGTGTAGCTACAGACAGAGACACGAACGCGTTCATAAGAATCAGCAAACACTTGTTGCACACCACGGTGGATCGAAGTCGGCACAAGTGATTTCGAGAGAAACATGCATGAACACTTCACTGACTGGAAAAAGTTGAAATTTATTTGAAATATATTTATTTTTAAATTCTAAATTAATGCAAAATGTATTCCATTTTGTATCTATTCCGCTGTACGCGCACCTGGCGGGCAGGAGATGAGCACGAGCTGTCCCACCTTCATCTGCATCACGAGGGCCCCATCGCCTGCATTTCAGAAAATAAAAATTATCATTTCTTTTAAATTTCAGTTTTTAATTTCAAATTAATTATTAATTTGAAATTAAAAACTGCATTTCAGCAGCCCTGCGTCTGCGTCGCTCCAGCCGCATGCATCACCACCGCTGGGAGCAATCACCAGCAAATCACGGCTTACTGAGTGAAACAATCATTATTTCATTTAAATTTCAATGAAATAATTCATTTTTTATTTAAATTGTCATAAAATATTCCATTATTTGGTTTAAATTGCAATTAAATGCCCCATTATTCAACTTAGAAGTCCTTACTGTAGCAGCTCAGCTTCTTGTAGGGCGGCGCGTGGATGACAGAAAAAGATTTGATTTGGGGCGAAGGCTCCGCTTCGCTCACGAGGCCTTTAAAACGAGGGTTTACAAAAAACGAAATCGCCAAATCAGGGTTTAGGGTTTAGGGTTTAGGGTTTAGGGTTTAGTTCCCGGGCTGAGTCTCTAAGAATTTAAAGCTTGAGGGCTTAGCATCCAGGGCTCCGCCCTCAGCGCCGAGCGCTTAGGACACTCCAGGGCTTAGGGCTTCGGGTTTAGGGCTTAGGGTTTAGGGTTTAGGGTTTAGGGTTTAGGGTTTGGGGCTCACCGTGGTGCCCGGGCGCTGCTGCGTAGCTGCTGCCGCCCCGCAGCAGCAGCAGCAGGGCCTCGCCCCCGGGGGGCCCCAGGGCCCCCGCGTGAAGGCCGGCTTTGCAAACTGCAGAGTCTGGGGAGTAAACTTTGCTGCCCCGAAGGGCCCCGGGGGCCCCCCCGCAGTTGGGGGGGCACTTTATAAGAAAACGAGACCCCACAAACCCGTTGAACGCCTCCAGCCACAAGTTGTCGCTGCATGCAAGCTCCACTGCCCCCTGCAGGGGGGCCCTTCCGGGGGCCCCCCAGGGGGCCCCCCCGGGGGCCCCCCCGGGGGCCCCCCCCCC